AACAAGTGCATCGCTAGTAGTAACAAGTGCCTTACTAGTAGTAACAAAGTGCCTTACTAGCAGTAACAAGAAGCTTTTAGTAACAAGTGCATGGCTAGTAGTAACAAGTGCCTTACTAGTAGTTTCTTTTCTCAGGATTATGGAGGCAACTCCGCCACTTGGCCGCATTCAGTTGCACCATGGAGACGTCAGCGGGCCGAGTTCTATTTTTTTTCCGGCGCAGGAGCTGGTGGAAAGAGTGTGCCACATTGCTACGACTGAGCTCCTTGCATCCCCTGCTTCTGATATTTTCGTTATGATCTCAGCATGTCTCAGCATTGAGAAGGGCTTTTGGGCGGCTTCCGCTGCGCGTTGTGTACGGACGGCGCTCACTCAAATTCAGGTGCCTGATGAGAAATGTGCCTTGGCTTGTGTGGAATGAGCAAGCTACAACTACCCAAGTAAGATCCACTATTAAGATGCACGAGGCATACAAACATATGCCACACCTTGTTTAAAACCTACCTTTTGGACAATTTCACTGGTATTTGCAATGGTTTGGTGAGATTTCAGAGGACAAATTGATCAGCATAATTTTGACTGTGTTGTCATCTTGTGGTCTTTGACTGGGTGTTAGTTACATCATTGATTGGTTCTAACTGTTTTGTATCACCGGCGCCTATGATGATGTTATTGTCCTTATGTTTTTAAGTATATAAATACCTGACAAAAGATATAAAGATAGGTCATATACATTTCATCAAAGAAGATGACATCAAAATTGCTGTGATCAAACTCTGGTAGTTCATCCTTTCATCCCCCTTATAAACTGGAAATCTAAAAAACCTGTTATATATATAGGTTGTTGCGTCACCTTCTATTTATTGACTTAACCAGTTATGAATGCCTTCACGATCCATGAAGACGATTTATATAACTAGAGTGGTGTGCAAACCAAATAATTTCACAAAATCCTATCAGACGCAATATTGAACGTTGAAGAAGGCAGCTGGAGACTGACAAACACACCAAAAAACATTTAGATGTAATGACTTAATTGAAATTCCAAAATAGAAAATGAACTAATAGAGGAGGTGGTGGATGAATGGGACACCCCCCGCAATATGTAAGCAAATTGAAGAACAAAACGGTCAGCAAAATTTGCTGGATCGGGCAAGAGTTACATAGGTCAGTATTAAAAACATACATAAACATGTTTTGTTTGTAGTGCACTCTTCACTGAAGAGACCTTAATGCTATTTTCTGCCAGTTTATTACTTGCTTCATACATTGGAAAGTTATCATACTGAAGTAGCAGCTCTTTTATATATCTAAACCCATTGACTATTATATTTCTATTGGTTGTTAAGATTTAGGTATTGCCCATGCTTGTTCCTTCTTCTTTTTCTATTTCTTCTTGTATGGCATAAGTCCTTCCTCGAAACTCCCTCTGGTAATGGCATGCCTCTCTCAAAGTGTTAAAGCAGTAACTCTTCTGTGCGGTGTTGTGTGATTTTTCTAGCATTCCAAAGCTGATGTGTCCTATTTTCTTTTGTCATCTTTAGCAAGATCGGTTTCCCATAGTTCATTGACAACCTGATCGTAATGGACCTTATGAATCAATGAAGGAGTTTTGTAACAAATGATGTCTATTCACGTCGCTTCGCGACGGTAACCGCCCGCACCGCATGGAAGGGGCCAATATTTCCACCGAACATAGCCCCGGAAGTGCCGCCCCCCCTCCCCAACGTGGCCGAGCATAGATTCCATGTTTCGAGATAGGGATTTAACATGGCCCAACGTGTCAGGCAATATGAAAGCTATGTTTGGCCACGTTAGGGGGTGTATTCCAGTTTATGACGTTCAAGTCCCTATCTCGCAGACACTACCTTTAGATAGTGACTTCTAGGGCTATGTTAAGCAATATCTTCACTCTATTCCAGTCCCTTTTGAGCCTTCGTCGGGCC